TTTTAACAATTATTAAAATATATGCATATCTTTTTTTTTTCCTCACCCGAGGACATTTTTCCATTTTTTTTTTGTTCAGGTAGAGTGGGAGGGAGAGAGAGGAACAGAGAGAGAGAGAGAAACATCGATGTGAAAGGGACACATCGAGTGGCTGCCACCCACACGACCAACCAGGGCCGGGGACAAACTGCAACCGAGGTACGTGCCCTTAGCGGGAACCGAACCCGGGTCTCTCAGGACCGCAGGCCGACGCTCTAACCGCTGAGCCACACCGGCCAGGGCTATATGCATATCTTTGATAAGTATAAAATCTAAACTAAAAATAGAAAATCCACACTTTGCCCTAGCGATGATATGTATCCCCTGATGTGTAGCCAATGCTGTAGGAAGAAAGAGAAAGAAAGAAAAGTATTATATCACTTTGTATTGTCTCTGATTCCTTTGTTCTTTTCCTTCCTCTCCCTCCTCTCTCTCTCAATTCTCTTTTTCATTTATTGTCTTCTATTTTATCTCTGCCATTCATTCTTTCTGTTTCTCTTTACCTCTCCCCGCCCTTTTTTCTTCTTTTCTCTCTTTCTGGCATAGTATGCAGCCAAACTATTATTATTATTATTATTATTTATTGAAAACAATGTTTCCTGTTCTTAGTTCTTAATATTAAAAGCATGCCTGGAATGTTCTTTCTTTCCCCCAACCAAAGCAATCTAAGCAGCAAACTCAGTTGTAAGCTACTTTTTATCAAGGTGAAGAAATTTTTCATGTAAAGGTTCTCTTAGACTTGGAGGATCCATCAGAGGTCCTTGGGGCCAACCAGTCACCTGATGCAGGTGATTTCTCTGCAGTACTTCTGTCCAGCACGTGTTCCAAGCTCTGATTAAACAATGAGTGTGGAGAATACGGAGCCATCAGCCAGGACGCTCCGATCCAGGCAGCTCAACTGTGAATAAGAGCTTCTACATGTTGAATGGAAGTCGGCCTCTCTCTCTCAGACAGTTAAAAAATAACCTAACACTGCTCCCCATGACAGCCCCTGAGTGGTTTCTACTCTAGGCTAAGCATTGCTCTTTCCTGTTGCGTTCTGGACCCTTCACCACCCTAGTGACTCCCGTGGGCACCCTCTCCGGCCATCTAAGCAGTGACTTAATCTTTCAGTCAGAGGCACCTAGAACTGAATACACTTCACCAGGTCTGTGCTCATTAATGCAGACTGCAGGAGATCTGTCACCTCCATTTTCTGCTTACCATGCTTCTATTGATGTAACCTAAGTTTTGAAGTAGCTGTTTATCTCAACTCTTGCTTACATCAACCTCAAAGTCATCTAAACTCTTAGGGGTTTTTTCTTAAGTGCCCATACTTTGTTTGTGGGCAGATGAGTTTTTCGAATATTGCTGTCTATCTTACACTTCTCCTACAAAATCTCTTCTTCTGAATTCTGGCCCAAATTCTCACCCTGTTTTGAGAAGTTTCTTATGATTCTCTTGAATAAGCATATTTAGCTGCCAGTTATAAATTCCTCGTATTAAAATTACTTCATCATCTAATTCCCAAACAAAATTTATATCATCTGAGCTCTAAGAACGATCCTCTTAGAGCCCCCCAATCTGTGACCCATTTTGGGTACCCTGGGCCATTGAGTTTGGCAACAGAAGGAGGTCTGGGCAAGCCCTACTCATGGGTCTCTGGCCTGTGCACATGACGGAGAGGGGGCGCATCACCTTTACTGCCTATAACCCTGGACCAGTGTCAGAAAACCTGGGCTGTCTCATGTAATCCATCATCCCCATACCTTCTGGGAAATGAATGGGAATGAGCTGAGCCCACGGAGACGAAGCAGATGGTTGGGTAGATTCCACGATGGATGAAGAGCAGGGAACTCCACAAGGCGGAGGCTCCTGATCCCACTGTGTTGGACTCAGTGCCAGCTGTCAACAGCTGGACACTAGACAAAGAATCACATCGTGATTAATACTCCATCTGTCAGGGACTGTCAACTCTGGAAAATAATAATAATGCTAACATTTGCGGAGTGCTTTGAGTTTTCAACATTCCTCTCCCTTGTAGTAACCCTTAAGATGGAAAAGCCAGGAGATCACAAGCCAGTTTTATAGATGAGGAAATGAATTTTCACAGAGGTTCAGTGACTTGCTCATACCCGCGGCTCTTGGGAGGGTGGAGCTGGGAGTCAAGGCTGGGTGTCCTGGCTTGAAATCCAGTCTTCTCTCCACAAGGCATCGCTGAAGCCTACTATTCATGTCACACATCAGTAAATGTTGATCTACCACCTACGTTGGGCCTGTCACTGGGCAAGCTGCTGGAGGGGGGCACAGAAGAGTATAACGCATGAACCTTGAGCTCCGTGAGCTCATAGCAACCTAAAGCACTTTGTTCAGGCGCCTGACCAGGTGGAACAGCCCTAGGCACTAGGCCATCAAAAGTAAAGTAGGCCCGGCCAGTGTGGCGCAGTGGTTGTGTGTTGACCCATGCATCGAGAGGTCGCCAGTTTGATTCCCGGTCAGGGCACATGCCCAGGTTGTGGGCCTGATCCCCAGAGCGGGGCATGCAGGAGGCAGCCAATCAGTGTTCTCTGTCATTGATGTTTCTGTCTCTCTCTCCCTCTCCCTTCTTCTCTCTCTAAAAATTAATTTAAAAAACATTTTTTAAAAGTAGAAGTGGCCCAGTTAGTGGCCGGGGTGGTCCTGAAGGGTGAGCTGAATTGAAAAGTCTGGGAAGGTGGTGGTGGAGGGTGGGCAGTGGGCAGTCTCAGTAGTTGGGTGTGAGTGTAGAAGGGTAAGAAGGGACTAGCCTAAATGCTGACAGAAGGGGTGTAGGGGTCAAGGTGACAGAAAACAGGGTAGAGAGGGTGAGCCAATGGCAATGGGCAGCCACTGACCTTGCGCAAGGAGGGAAACCCATGCTTTAGGTGTCCAGCTGACATTTATGGGGCTATGCTGCAGGGTGGGGAGCAATGACAAGTGGGACATGTTCCCTCCCTCAGAAAAATGACAGACAGGATTGCCGTATTGTCCTCTCAGAATGAGTGGCTCCTCATCACACTCCAACAGCACAAGACAGGAATGGAACTCGGGGTGGGGGGCTGGGCGAGAATACAGAACTCTTTAAAGAGTGGATGAAAAGAATTCTGGAGGTGCTGGAGGTTGTCTGCATAACATGAAGCAACTTAGCACTACTGAACTGTACACTTACAAGCTGCTTGACCTTGGAGAAGTTACTTAGTTCCTTCATCTCTGTAGAGTGGGAATAACAGTACCTACCTCACAGGGTTGTTGTCAAGGTTAAATGAGTTAATATAAGAAAAGCACTTAGCGCTGGCTGGTTTGGCTCAGTGTTTAGAGCGTTGACCTGCAGTCCAGAGAGACCCGGGGGTTCTGTTCCCGCTAAGGACACGTACCTCGGTTGCAGTTTGTCCCTGACCCAACCTGGGTCGTGCATCGTGCGGGTGGTGACCACTCGATGTGTCCCTTTCACGTCGATGTTTGTCTCTCTCTCTCTCTTCCTCTCTCTCCCTCCCCTCTATCTGAGGATAAAAAAAGAAGTAAAGCCCTTAGAACTGCTTAGCACGTGGTATATACTATTAAGTGTTTTCTCCTCTCTTTCCCTCTCTCTCTTGTTAAACCCTCACCTAAGGACATGCTTAGAGAGAGGAAGGAAGAGGGAGAGGGAGAGGAAGAGAGAGAGAGAAACAATAATGTGAGAGAGAAACATCGACTGGTTTCCGTCCATATGCTCCCTGATTGGGGATCAAACCTGCAGCCCAGGCACGTACCCTGACCGGGAATCAAACCAGCATTCTTTCAGTACACAAGACAACGTTCAACCAACTGAGCCACTCGGGCCGGGTTCTTCTCTCTTTCTCTTCTCCCCTGTTCCTTCTTCTTTCTCCTCCTTCTATTATTATTATTATCATCATTATTATTATCTCACTACTATATTTTCCCTCTGCAATACAGAGCCTCATTGGAGCTGCCTCCCAGGGACGGTCAGGAGTGCAGTCCCTGACAATGACTAAGACATTTCTGACTCAGCTGTGGGTTGGCAGCTGCACTGTGAAGAGGGCGGAGCCTTGGCAAACTCTCCTCATGGACGAGATCCGACCCTCGAGTACTGAGGCTGAATTTTTAACCAATAAACGGGAGCCTATGCATAAATGTAACCTGCAGACCTCTGTCCTCAGGCTGTCCACTAAAATTGACGGTATTGCCACGGCTCGAACTATTTTTAGGATTTCCCTAATGCCTTTCCCCATCTCCACCTCAATCAAAATGTAACTGCCCTCTTAACATTTTGGTTAGATCTCCTTTTCGAAATGTAATCAGTCATGCTTAGGGTTATAGGGATTTCTGCCTGTGTCTGCCCCTCGACCTGGGTGGCAACCCCCTCGTCTTCCTCACTCCTGCATCCCCGCCCTGTGCGATGTCAGTGCTTCACAAATGCTGGCTTTATGGTGAGTTATGTTGAGACTGACTTCGCGAATCAGGAGACATACTTCTGAATATCCCCACTGCGGCTGATCTGCGTCCTTTGGGGTGGATGCGATTTTAGGAAAACACGAAGTAATTCCTTTTTACTATTTTTGTATTTTAAAATTGTAATCTACTGTGTAAAATTTTATTTTATTTTATTTATTTTTATAATGTTTATTTTTGTTACACGAAGTAATTCTAAGCTAAGTTTGGTGAATTCATTCAACAATGCCAATTTGGTCCTATAAATAAGTTTACAAGTCTGGTTTCCTCGCATGGCTTGTAAGCCAGGTCTACCTGTCATTCTCCTGGAAGATTTCCAAAAGGTACTTGGCGCAGGGCCTTTAGAATAGGCACGTGAAGACCAAGGCTGCCTTCCCTGCTCTGGACCTAGCAGCCATGCCTGCGTGGGGTTGTAATGCCCAAATTGGCCACCAGAGGGGGAACATGTTCCAGACCCCAAGGTGGGCCTCCACTCTTGCTCCAAAAACTTTGCATTTAAAGACTGGCCGCCAGAGCAGCTGCAGTTCACGTCTCAGTCAGTACCTAGCAGAGCTGCTGGTGCCTCCACAGAACATCTCCCGAGCATTGCCCCAGGCTGAACGAGGCGAGGCACCAAGACAGGGACTCCCCAGCCCCAGGCACCCCGCTCGGGCACAAAGCTGAGTCTTGCCTCCTGACTTGATCCTCCTGGAGAAGTGACCCTCAAGACAAGTCACCGGGCACCCCTACAGTCTCCTTCTATGACTCTGTCTGGATTTGCCTGGCTGTGGGGAGAAGCTCCGAGCAGCTGCCTGGGTCTCAGTGCGGTGCAGCAGCCAGCCACCATGGCGGGTGCCGGGAACTGAGGGCACAGCCTCTGCAGCCTCGGCGGAGGCACTAAGGTGAGTCTTTATCACTTTGACACTAACTTAGTCCCAACACCTGGGGCTGGTGTCCCAAAGGCCGTTGGAGGACACTGAGAGGTGGCGGATGGAGCAGGGCACGGTGTTTGGGGATCCTCAGGCGGTGGCGCACAGAGGGGCCAGCACCAAGTGAGAAGGTCCCAGTGCCAGCCTGTGGGGTCCATGAGGCCCTGTGCCAGCGGCCTGGACTGGCGAGTGTGAGTCTGCATTTGGGTGCCAGAGGAAGCTACTGCCTTAGTGACCACTATTCCTGGCTTGCGTCACTGCTCCAGAGCCTATTCAGGGACAGATGGTACAGGTGGCAGTCCCTCTACATGTGCAGAGTATGTGTGTGTGTGCACGTGTGTGTGTGTGTGTGCACATGTGCCCAGTGGTGGAATATATGAAGGGAGAATTCATTTATAAGACATCTATACCTTTCCAGCTTTGGGTTATGCTTTAGGTTAACTAAGTACAGTTAGAGGGGGAAAGGGCTTAAAACCTCCTCAGTGATTCTCTCTCCAGAGAGAGCCACATGAAAGCTAGGCAATCCAAAGGAAAGCTGTGAGCCCTGCAGAATTAGTTGCTGGATCCACCTTCTTTGCAGCCACAAGCAAGGCTCGTGCCACCCCTGGGCAGGAAGAATGGATCGAGTCCTTCTCCTGCCCAGAAAGGGACTGTGAGTCAGGATCTGGGTCTTAGCTCTGGTCTGCATCACGATCACCTTTCGCAAAAGGAACCTCTAACAACGTGGTTTCTGGCTCTGTCAAGGCAGGAGGGAGGCCTCAGGAACTGCAGGCCCCCCACTTGGCTGCTGGGCAGAATCAGAAGATGCTGGGGGGCTGTTGGCTCTCACCAGACTCTGCCACCAACTTCCTATCTGCCCTTCTGCGCAAAGCCCTTCCACGTACACTGTCCCGCATGAAGCTCTCGATAACCGAGTGGCTGGCAGATGTGGCTGGCTTCTCCCCATCACAGAAATGATGGCCTGAGGCTGCGCGAGCTCAGCTGATTGGGCCAAGTTCCCGAGTCATAAGAAAAGTGCAGCCAGATAAGACCCTATGTCCGCTGGCCTGCACAGAGCGCCTGGGGTGGGGCTGCAGGTAGCGGGGAGCGCCAGCTCTAAAAGGCATCCTCAAGACACTCTAAGAGGTCAGTAAAGTGTCCTCTCCATCGGGGAGGAAGGCCCCACTGTGACTTGAAACACAGAAGTCTAGGTTCCTCGGGCTTCCTCCACAGGGCACCTGGGCGACCACACCCTGCCCATGTTTCCATGGCCCTCATCCCATCCTTTCCAACTCTCAGAGCCTCTTCTTGGCCCCAGAGCCCCCACCTGGCCCTCTTTAGTGACTCATCTTGGACTCCAGAGGTGGTCAGTGACAGGGATGGATACACCCTTCCCGGATAAAGCAACCGCATGGCTGAGCCGGTGCCGGGTGGGAAGTTTGTGCGGCACCTCATCCCTCTCCGACATCCGCTGGTTCTTGCCTCCTTGTGCCTCGATGGCTTATCTTTCAAATGGGGATGACAGACTGACACTGCCTGCCCCCCTCAGTGCTCCTGGGAGGGCAGAGCGATCCTGGATGGCAAGTGGTCTGGAATTCGTGGGATGTGCACACTAGGGGTTCCGCTCCTTTATTAGCACACACGGCAGTTAGTTGTACCTTGTCTGAGAGCACAGACTTGGCCCAAAGGCTTGAAGATCACTGATCAACGATCGAAGGGTCCAAAATAAAACTTGAGGCAGAAAGAACATCATTCGGTTTCATTCCTAAGTAACAAACATTAGCAGAGCTGGCTGAGCATTTTGCAATCTCATCTCATTCACGTCTGGCTCCTGCTCGGCCAGCCCCTCCCCAACAAGCTCCCCAGGGCTCCTGCTCCACCAGCTGAGGGTGCGGAGGAGCAGAGATGGGCCGCCCTACAGACACAGTCCAGATAGCAAACAGCGCTGTCTAGCTTTGGTCCAGAGCTGATCAGCAGTGGGGAGGTAAAAAGAAGACGGGGCTACAGCAGTCCAAGCCCGGCTCCCACCTCCATTCCCCGCATGGCCGCTTGGGCGCTCTGCAGCCTCTGGGCAGCAGTGCCTGTTGCCTTTGGCAAGGAGTGGGTTACCACATGCAGAAGACACTGGCCTCCTGCTTTGCAGCTCTCCAGGATCCGGTGGAGGCCAGGGGAAGGGGTGCCTCACACGGTGCTGTGAAACCAGGGAGGGTCCCCAGCAGCTCAGCAGCAGCGGAGCTGCTCGGGGCCCCACCTAGAGGCCCTTACTGGGTGGAGGACTTGGATGGATGGAGGGAATTCGGAGGCTAGCAAATTGGACAGAACTGCAGCACAGAGAAGCTGGGATAGGAGCTGTCTTGGGCTCTGGGAACCCCCAGGGCAGGGAGGAAAGGTCATGGCAGAGCCGTGGGCTCCCCTCTGTCCCTCCCTCCCACAGGCTGGAAGAAAGGCCTGCAGAGACTGCGAACACCCTGACTGTGTGTGTATGTGTGCGTGCTTGCGCGTGCACGTGTGTGTGAGTGCATGCACGTCTGTGGGTGCATCCATGTGTGTTACATGCACGCACGGTGTGCAGGAGATGTGGCTTGAAAAGTCAAGAGCAGAATTCATTATTCATCCTTCTGGCTGTCAGAAGGACAGTTGTGTGGCAACTGGTCATTTATGGCTTCTTCTCAGCCCTGAAGTCAGAGGTCTCTGGAGGCAAAGGTCACGTCATGGAAACAGGGGATTTGTTTGCTCTGCCAGGCAGACCGTCCGGCCAGCCTCCTCCTCCATTCTCCCTACTGAGCGGACTGGTCCTGATGCCACTGTCCCCACCTGCCTCTGAAGGGGGACTCGCGAGGTGGCGCTGCTTTCAATCAGCAGCACTGTCCTTCCCCACCCTGCCGGCCTGTTGGGCCAGGTCTCCTTCCCGGTGGTGGACCCCCGGCTGGCACCCTGGGCCTCAGGACTGAGTGTGCTCCACGCTGGGCCTGGGGCCCATCCATCTTCCCAGGGGCTTTTAGCCTCCAAAGAATTCAGTTTTTACAAGTGGAGTTTTTGGATTCAATACTCATATAGTCAAAGAACATCAGAACAAAGGTCAAGTTAAATTAATGTCTAAAGTAGAACATAATTTATAAAATCACTGAACATTATATGTGAAAAAAGTATCAAGTATTTTATGTAAATAAATACTTTGTAATTTGGCTCGAAAAGATGGATTTTCTCATTATACAAGGAATACATCATAGAAAATCCAGGAAATCCACAAGCAGAGGCACGGGTCCCACCCAAGTCCTGTGACACACCTGGAACAACCAGGACGTCCCATGTGCACTCTGCCCTGTCGCACATGCAGGGCGTGTGCATATTACACAATGGGCGGTGGTGTACACACTGAACAGGGCTGGTTCATTAGCAGAGCATTTTCCCCAGTCGGTGGGTATGTTCCTGGAACACCACGGGTAGGACCTCAAGCTCCCGTGATTCAGCCTCAGGAAGCCATTCGGGTACCTCCTGGGTGGAAGGCTGCCCAGGTCTTGGTGTCTGGAGGGACCACCGGCTCCTTGGGCTCCTGCGGGAATGATTCCCTGCTATGATCCTGCTGAACCAGCTCCTGTAACCAGCAGCCTGGCCGGGTTGGGAGCACTTCTGGTTCTAGCTGTGTTGGCTGGTGGTCTCTGTACCTGCCGTTGTGTCTACTTTCCCTCGTTTTCAACACAGAACAGAAACCCAAGTCTCTCTGACATGCTCAGGGCTGCAGAGCCTCAGAAACTGCTCCATGTGCTCCTCCAGGCCCCGCCCTGCATGGCTCTTGGTGCCCCCCCAGCTCAGGGCACCAGCCCACTGAGAGCTGTTGAAAGGAAGAAGATGGTCACGATCAGAAAGGCCCAAAGGGCCTTGTCTTCTGAAGCACTGAGGAAATTGGAGAGGAACAGAAGTCCTGAGGACCCAGTAGATGCCACCTGTTGATGAGGACAGGGTCCCATTGTTCAGGCGCAGGGTCACAGGATAGACCCTTTGTTTCTTTTTCTATCCATTTGTTTCTGTTTCTACTTACAGTTTTTTCTTTCTCTCTACCCCTGCTTCCTTCCTCTCCCTCCTCTTCTCTCGCCGTCTCTCTGGCTGCTGCTGCAGGACGGGATGGAGAACAAAGCCATGTACCTCAACACCGTAAGCGACCGCGACACCAGCTCCATCTTTGAGGAGCCCTTCGATGGCAGGAGCCTGTCCAAGCTGAACCTATGTGAGGATGGTGAGTGCCTCTGGCTGGGTCTCGGGTGAGAGATCTTCCCTGACCCCTACACTCAACCTCGGCATTGTCCCAGGTGCTGGTGACCTCCCGCCTAGTATGCATGTATTGAACTTCATGCTTTGAAAGGTCTTTTCCAAGTGTCTTCTCATTCATACATCTCAGCAAACCTTTGTGATCAGCAAGATGAGTACCCATTTTACAGATGAGCTAGTGAAGGCTGAGAAAAGCATTAGGGATAATTCAACACATAGAGGGGTTCCAGCCCTGAGTCTCCTGACCCCTTTTGTCTCTCTTCCGAGTGAGTGAGGCAAGGGTCAGACAAAGGCATCTGAACCAATTAGCCAGGACCCTCTCAAATGAGAAGCCACCAATCCATTTCTAGAAGCTTTTGTGAGAAAAAAACATACTCTCCAGGTGCTCATCTGCCCCCAGGTCTGAGGCCCCAGGTTCCCCTTCTTGGTGACCCAGATGTCTCTGCATCTTTGGGAGCTGGTAATTTGCTAAAACTCTGAAGATGTAACTGATATAGCCCAAAAATAGCCAAAGCTCCTTGCCAACAGCCTGCCTCCTGTGTACCCAGCACAGAGCTCAACATTTAGTAGGTGCTTTTAATAAAGGCTTGCTTCATGAATGCACATACTTCTCTTTGCATTGAGTGTGGGAGTGGACGGCACCATCCCCATTTCAGAGATGAATAGAATGAAGCTCACACAAGAGTCCTATAAAGACTTATTGTCAATGAGATAAACTTATTGTCTGTATCAGGGTTCTCCAGACAAACAGAACTGGTGTGATGTTTATTTCCAATATAAAGAAATATATTATACAGAATTGACTCATGTGATTATGGAGTCTGAGGAGTCCATGATCTGCCATCTGCAGACTTGAGACTCAGGAGAACTGGGGTATAAATCAGTTCAAGTGAGAAGGCCTGAGAACTAGAGGAGCCAATAGTGTAAATAGCACTTTGAGGGCTGGAGAAGGTGAGACATCTCAACTCAAGCAGCCAGGCAGGAAACAAAAAGCAAATACCTCCACCTTTTGTTTGATTCAGGCCCTGAACTGATTGGATGAGGCCCACCCAATTGGGAGAGCAATCTGCTTTACTGAGTTCACCAATTCAAAAGCGAATCTCATGCTCACTTCGGCAGCACGTATACTAAAATTGGAACGATACAGAGAAGATTAGCACGGCCCCTGCACAAGGATGATGTGCAAATTCGTGAAGCGTTTTGTATTTTTTGCCAGGGTCGTGATGAAACATCTCACAACGACCCAGCCACATTGCCTCCCATCTCCTTCAGCCCCTCAGACCCCCAGCTCCACCCTAAAGAAACAACCAAACAAACAAAAAACCAAAAGCAAATCTCATTCAGAAACACCTTCCAAGACACACCCAGAAATGATGTTTAATCTGGGCACTGTCATGGCACATTAACCATGATGCAGTCCTTTTCTCAAGAACATGTCCTGTTGTGCTCCACTCTGCTAGCTGCCTCTGCTATAAAATTACTCAACATAGAAATGGCTTTCATGCTCCAATCCTGTTTTTTCTCGCACAAGGTGGTTTAGAAAGGCAGGGACGAAGGACAAGCACTCAAGGTAAATGTGTGCTTGTGACCAATACACCTCCGCATGCTTCCCTGGTAAACTGCCCACCATTACACCGCTTCCTCTGGATCCCAGTCAACAAACATATTTTGAGAATCCACAAAGTGTCAAGCTGTTGGTTAGGTGCCAGGGATGCTCCAAAAAGAGATTAAACCATCCTTGCCTTCAAAGTACTTATGATCCCAGTGGAAGGGACTGGTGTGGGGACAATTACCCATAATACAAAGTAGGTGAAAATATGTGTGATTACTGAAGTCAAACACGGAGAAGCCTTTCTGGAAAAGGCCTTAAAGACTGAATACAATTTTGTAAGAGAAGAGGTAGGTGGGGAAGGGCATGGTCGGCTGAGCTGTACTAAGCCAGGCCAGTGTTTCTGTTGGGTTAATGCTACCTGGGAAGAGAGGAAGGACCCTGGAGCACTTGGCCACTGGTCAGGGCTCAGCACATCCCCACTAGCACCTCAGCAAAGGCCAAGTTGGTTTCAATATCCTTACTCCAGTCCCCTTCCCACCAGCCCATCAGTGGGGAGGCCTCGTTGAGCAAGACAGAACTGGGGTCCAGCATGATGGGGGAGACTGAAGGACTACCTCCTGTCTCCCTTGCATGCACTTCTGACCCCCCTTTCCCCGCTTTGCTTTTTCCTTTTTCCCATAGTCTTATGTTCTTCTAAAATTACATATGTAATTTTCTTATTATGTTTATCATTTGCTGTCTGTTCCTCATGAGAAGAACAGACTGGACAAGGGCAGCATCTCAGTTTTGTTCATTGATGTCTCCCAGCCTGGCATGTAGTAAGAGCTCACTAATATTTGATGAATGAATGAATGAATGAATGAACACAGGGGTCCTTGAAATCTAAACGTGGCAAAACAAAGGCATTTGAAATGTGAATTCCAAATCATCTGGGCCTCCCCGGCTTGCTGTTCCTGGATGCCAGGTGTGAGGTGGGGAGGAGGACACCAGGAACCCAAAAGACTAGAGTGTTGGGATGCAGCCAGCTGCCTAAAACTCCTGGGTTTCTGGTTTGATTCCCCCCCTTCCCTTTCATTTTGAAGAGGAAAGTGATGAGCTCTGGCTTGGGAAATTGCAGCCAGATTTGATCTATTTTCTCAGGACTTGGCTTTTCTTGATCCTCATCTCTGGAGAATGTAACAGCATCTCTGGAGTGTACCAGGAGAGGGAGGGGAAGGGTGGAGCAGGTGGGAAGGGGCACAGAAGTTGATGGGAAGAAGACAGAGCGCAGAGGTGGGGACAGGGAGCGAGACTGAGCCACCCGTGGGCCTTGAGGGAATTAAAACCGTACTGTCTGGTGGGCTTCACTGGGGCTCCAAGTCCTTTCCAGATTTCCCCCCCAGAAGGTTGGGAGGTGGGGAGGAGAGGAGGTGCCCCCTCCTGGTCCTGGGGATACTGGGATCTGGGAAAGCAAAGTTGCCAAAATGCAATTTGGAAATTAAGGTATGACTTGGACTTGAATGCAGGTGGGACTTTAAAGAGGTCGGGGTCATGCACTGACAACTTCCCCTCCCCTCCCTTCTGCTCGCCTTTCTTTTCTCCTCCCACCCTGCCTTTATCCCTCCCTTCTTTTCACTTACCAGGTGAGAAGGGAGGGTGAGGACTGCTCAGTCCCCTCCATGAGAAGCCATTTTGCCCACCCCTTGCATCCTTGGAGGCTCACTCCCACACCCCGCTCTGTGACGCCATGGGGACTGCTCCCATTTCTGCACCCCGTGGTTGGGACGCTGCTGGGACTCACCTCCTTCCCTGTGTCTGAGCTTTCAGCACCCTATTGGAATCCCTGTTGATGGGAAGGCCCCAAGGGCAGGAACCTCCTCACCTCCATGTCTCCACCTGGCAAAAGCATCGGTCCCACCTGTGTTGCGGAACTACCGTGCAAGGAGTAACTGCAGAATCCCACCTCCCAGGTCCGTTGGCCAGGCCTTCTCGGCCTTGATGCCTACTTACCCTCCCTTGGAACAGAAACACACACAGGGGCCAGCTGGGTCTGCTCCCCCCTCTCCCCCTTCCTCTCGCTTCTCCTTCCTGCCCTCCCCTCTCACCTTCCCCGTCCTTCCTCTTCCCCTTCTTCCCTGGCCTGGACAGCTGTAGGCCTCTCCAGTCTGGCGCCAGGAGGCGGGGGAGGCGGAGGGCCGGGCGTGGGCGGTGTTTGGCTGCGCCTGGCTCCTCCACGGCCCTTTCCGAGGGTCAGGGAGAAGTGTTAGTGTCAGAAAAATATTGCAGTCAGTCACCCCGCAGCCTCAGACCCTCCACCACACTCGTGGCATCGTCACCGGCCGCAAATGGGAGGCTCGCAGAGGTAATGAGTTACACATGTTCCTGGCTGCGCCTGGACGCCTGCTTCTGCGTTTCGGGCCCGAGCTCCCCATTCCGGTATTCCTTCCCCATAAAATTAAATTATTCTCCCGGGGGAACCCCCACATCTCCTTTCTCATCAATCAGATCTTCCCAGTGTATCTGGCGCAGCTGAGGGCTGCTGGGCAGGTGCCCGGGGCTCGCAGTGGATTTCCTGGGAGGGTCCCTGGGGCCCACGGAGGGCCCCCGCCCTCTGCAGGCTGGAGAACTGAGCACCGAGGCAGGAGATGAGCGGAGACGCGAACTCCCACAGCAGCAGCGTGCTCCCGGGTTCTGTCCCGGTTAGAGCAGAGCAGAGAGCCAAGTGCTGCGAGATGAATGTGTGGTCACTGGGGTGGCGGCAGGCTGGGTCCTGGGTCTCTCTTGCCTGTGGGGTGGTCCTCCCACAACATGGGGAACAACCTGGGGTGGTGACAAGAGCCCAGACTTTGGAGTTTGGCAGATCTGGGCTGAATCCATAGATCACACTGGCTGTGTGACCTTGCGCTCGGGCAGTGTCTTCTGTTTGCCCCCCATCACCACCATTCACGCACTCTCCGCCTCCTTGGGGTTGCCTGTCGGGGAGCCACCCTGAATGGAGATGGGAGACAGAAGAAAGCGAGGTTGGAGTATTTACTCGCCCACTGCCAGCTCTATGGAGTCACCTCAGGCTGCTGTGTCCTTCCACTCAAGGTCATAGGTCCTTGTAAGCCACCCTCTCCACACTGGCCTTTCTGCCCAGGTTCCAGCACTGGCCCCCTCCTTGACCCTGGGGGCCGGGGCTGGTTACAGCCCAAGGACACCGCTCCAGCCCTTGTGGGCATCTTAATTCCTTTTCTAAATCCTGTGAAGTCGCCTAGTTTGAGTGGGCCATCTGTTTCCCTGACCCTCTAAACCTCAGTGTCCCCATCTGCCAAATGGGAATAATGTCACTCACTCCACGGGAGCAGTGGGGAAATCAGGTGGCATAACCCACCAAAGCACCTTGTACACAGTCAATCCTCGATACATGTGTATTTCACCTTCCTGACCTTTGGGGAGTCCCTGCACATCTTGGGAACATGAAGAGAAAGGAGAGGGAGAGACGAGACTGCTGCCACCCAGGGTCTCCCGGGGACCCAGCCTGGATAACATTGTAAAGCTGGTTCTTACCTTCTGCTAAAGAAAACGCTGTCTCAGCCCTGGCTGTGTGGCTCAGCTGGTTCAGTCCCATGCGCTGAAGGGTCTCCAGTGGAGTCCCAGTCAGGGCACATGCCCGGGCTGCGGGTTTGATCCCCGGTTGGGGTGTGTGCAGGAGGCAGCCAGTCTGTGCTTCTCTCTCACATCGATGTTTCTCTCCCTCTCCATTCCTCTCCCTCTAAAATCAATAACAACATATTTAATTAAAAAAAAGAAAGCACTTTTGCAGCTAATGAACTTCCTCATGAAGCCTAGATACTCAAGGAAACCGAGCGAGTTCTTTTAGTCCACTCTCCCACATAGCAGAATCTTTAAGGGATATTCTGGGTTCCGAGGGCCCCTGGTTCTGCGCATGCGTGAGGCTGGCCGTCTCCCCCACCTCCACGCGGATTACAGCAGCTGGCTCCCAGAGGCCTTCCTGAGGTTTGCTACCAGAGGGTGGAGGGATGTTTTATTGTCCCCAGTGGAGTCTGGTGTCTTTCGAAGGGGACAGGGAAGAGTGAGAGGAGCCCAGACACCCCGAGGCGCCTTTACATTGTGGTGTGAAAGGAAACTCTGCCTTCTTCATTCACTAAATCGCCCATCGCCAAACTATGCCACTTTGTAGGTGGCGTGACTCCGGGGAGTGGGGGCTGCGAGGATGGCTCTGAGGGGCGTGCTGCTGGCCTGGCACACTCTGGGGTGGGGGGAGGGCCTCCACGGACAGCGCGGCCATACGTGGGAGGGGGCGTCAGGAGATACCTGAGCGGAGGGGAGCTGAGCCAGGTCCTGGTTATTGTTCATCGTATCACCCACTTCTCCACACCCAAGGATCTTGCTCTTCTGGTTCCTGCCCTTCATTCCCTTGCTCATTCCTTCCTTCCTTTTCTCATCTTCATCTTTCAATGAGAAAGGTGCTTTTCAGGCATCCTGCGGGTGCTTCGCACTGCCTGTGTGCAGCGAGGGCCGCAAGGAGGCACGAGACTAAGTTTCTCTGGCCCTTTCCCCGGCCTCTGGCCCTTGTGTGCTGTCCATTCACACCTAGGCTGCAGCTTGTACACCTGAGTCCCCTCTGGACTCTAAGTCCTTAAGGGCAGACACTGTCCACCTTAGGTTCATCTTCG